TCGTTCACAGGGAGGTTGAAATGCATGCAGCTTTACGACAGGGCACTTAACTGTACTGAAGTCAAGAAATCCATGAATATTTGCGGTTCAAAGGGCACGTTTGTTTTATTTATTTATTTATTATTATTTTATTTATTTATTTTTTTTTTTAATTAAGAAGCGAAATTTCAGGCATGGATTTGGCAATTTGCTTTCACGCCTTTCAATCCAAAATACGTTTCGTCACATATAATGTACTTTGAACGCTGCACCAACACCATCGTCAAACATGTTACTTAGACAACGCCTGTTGATTACCTACGTCTTTTTTTTTCTTTCTAGAAAAATCAGCGGAGTTCTTTAAGAGTCCAGTGGCACCGGGGCGTGGATTGCCAGGTTTTCTCACTTTGTCCAATAAGACGACCTGTTCACTGCTGCGCTGCACTGAATTGTGCAACAGAGAGGTTAACTGCCTCTCTTTCAACTTTGCGCGCCAATCAAAAGTCTGTGAGCTCTCGTCATACCACACGAGGTTTAACGGGACACACGGCATTGTAGACCTTAGAGATGAATACGTTTATTATGAACTGATGAGTAATTTGGTCTATATTACTGAGTCTTAGTCTTATTGCAAGTGATTAAAGTCAGACTGAGACAGCCGTTCAGGCACGGTTAGTGCAGTAGGCTGCAAAAATATTATTTTATTCAAAACTCAATTTTGCTCGGTTCACGTAAACACAGAATTAATTTATTATCAATACAGCCAGCTATTTAGATTAAAAATGATGATTATATTAAATATGACGTTTAACGACAATATGATTTTTATGACGGTCTTAGCATAACGTTGATCTAAAGCCGTGATGACACGAGAACCGAGGGTGACGGTCCAATCGTGACTATTTCAGCCCTATACACGACAGTATCTGAGACCACAGGTTATTGCCCAGAGGCAGGCCATCTCAGACCAGGGATTTCAACGGGGGCGTCTCGATAGTCCGAAGGTTCATTGGTCCGAAGGTTCATTGGTCCGAAAAGTGGTAACATTTTCATCGATTTTTTAATCAAAGGTTCATTGGTCCGAAGGTTCTCTAGTGAACATTCGGACCAATGAACCTTCGGACTATTGAACTTTCGGACTATTGCTACGGCCCCATTTCAACCGGGTGTAACGAAACCGAGAGTCCGTATAACAGAAAGTCCGCCCTCCATTTACATATAATGGTTAGGGATAGCCTGACCTTAGTGGGTCAAAATATAGGGCGAAACTTACCTGTACAAATGAATGTGAAGCAGACTCTATTATGGGGGACTCACTGTCACGTTACACCAGGACGACCTTCTGCTCTTTACTCTAAATTGTCTACTCCCTACTTACTAGAGTGCAATGCAGCAGACAATTAACGCCATGTTCACCTCACGTGTAAGCTTCAAAAAGGCTATAATTCAATATTCGGCCTCCTAAGTCCCGGCAAAGACTGTTGCATTTCACAAATTGTCTAAAATGCAGCTCTTTCAATTTTTCGTACCCCTAGAATATTTTTGCTGTCTTACTATAACAAACGCCTATATTGAGTCGGTGTTTATGTTTTCTGACAGTAGTAGCATTTGATTGAATGTGAAGCTTTCTTTCACTAACCCTACAATTTATTCCGTGTTACCCCCTCTGTACATTGTAATTCTTTCAAGCTAGAGCTACCTGAGTGGGATTAAATTAACCTACTCTTTGACAGAGACCGAATGGTCAATGGCATAGTTATTGTAGTTGCTTATTGTAGACCGTTCCATCCAGAAGATACTGCACAAAATATTTAAATGTGATTTGGATTTTTTAATTTGTTTAATTTATTCATTGGTTGAACAATCAGTAAATTGTTGTGAAAAATCTTTTTAGAAGTTGAATAAAGAGCATTGGTTGGTGACATTTTCTGTGTCATTTTATGCATTGCGTTAGGAGTGACACTTTTGTGCTACGGGTAGTAGACATGTGAAGATAAAGTGTATCCGCAGACTAACAAATCCGCGGATCAAATATGGCCGACCCACTTGAAAGCGTACTGCGTAAGCTGAGCAGGGAATCTATTTGGTGTGTATAAGGGGATTATGCGGCAAGCTTTCACGTTGGTCGGCCACTTTTGATCCGTGGATCTGTCAGCCTGCAGATCAACTTGTTCTAAATTCGCTATAAGTTGCATTTTATATGTTTACACATCCTCCAAATCTTCTTACATTTTCCAATACAAACGTTTAAAACGATAAAAGCCCTCACATAAAAGTACTCGATGTCGAAATTTCCCTCTGAAAATTGTGAAATATTTCTGTACTGGAAGACATAGCGGTCAAAAGGTTGGACTTCTCATTTTTAAGTGGCTTATCAAAAAAAAAAAAATAGTATAAAATATCGAGCCCGAGTGGATGGTTCGAGAGTAGGATAAATTTGCTTCTTATTTTTTTATGTGATTTGTCGGGAAAATCTTAGATGAGATAGGAGAACAGTTTCATTAGCTCTGTATGTATAAATTCAAATTACTGTTTTTCTTTTTATCAAGAGCTTGTAAAATATGTGGGTATTACCTCCAATATTTCTGTGACTGTCAGTCACCATCATCAGGGAGTAAATGACTAGGGTCATTTCACCTGGAATGAAAATCCAGGTCAATTGCCCCTAATCACTGGCCTTGTGTTGTAACTGTTACTTGCTCCCCCCGGGGCTCCTCTGCATCCCTCTGGAGCACCGTGAGCTATCTACCTCACGGTGCTCCAGAGGGATGCAGAGGGATGCAGAGGAGCCCCGGGGGGAGCAAGTAACAGTTACAACACAAGGCCAGTGATTAGGGGCAATTGACCTGGATTTTCATTCCAGGTGAAATGACCCTAGTCATTTACTCCCTGATGATGGTGACTGACAGTCACAGAAATATTGGAGGTAATACCCACATATTTTACAAGCTCTTGATAAAAAGAAAAACAGTAATTTGAATTAGATGAGATACTTTTAAATAAACAGCAGATAACGAACTTGTGTCGAACATGTAATTTAGAATAAATTCCTGCTGAAGCTTACCGGGCAAATTACATGGTAGGACCACTTAAACACACTAGTATCGCTTAGATAATATATTCAATGTAAAAAGACCTTTTTATTTGGGAAATTGATTATGGTTATGTTCCCCATCGGGTTTAATTAACGGATATCGTACCCTGAAACTGAGACAAAAACTGCATGTCGATAAAAAAATGACAAATCCAGTCAAGGCGGATGAATATTGGACATCAATACTTCACCAAGTTCGAATTTTGTAAAAGAAAAAATTACAAAGTAGGCTGTTCTAGGCTGCGGGCGAACTTTCAACCCAAATTCACTAATAAATTTAATACATGGCCCGCATGTGATATCCGTCTGTGCTGTGTATAACCACCGTCAATTTAATTGTTTCTGAATTGATTTATATTGACCGTAAGCCTACTGCGTCTTGTAAACTTAGATTTTAAACCCAAGGTAGGCGAGACTGAGTTGTGGATTCAACGGGGGCAACAGCAATTAGAAGTCTACACGAATGATTGTTGACAACAGTTTTCCAACTGCTCTTGAAACTTCAGCATGTGGTCTGCACTAGTCTGGATTTTTGGCTGTGTCTGCATCTGCAGCGTTGAAGGTGGGTTAATGGATAATGCAGCAAACGAAGTACCAGATAATGTATATATTATGGATGTATGCAAAAAATAGGGGGTTATATGGTGATATAGATGTACAAGTGGATTTTTAGTTTGGTTTTTCACAATAACGTAATTATATAATTACATATGCAATAATTCACATCGTTTTCCACACTATTTACTGCACACAACCCGTTTATCTTGGAAAAGAATTTTCTCACTATCTTTGCTATTAGAATTATCATTTTTCATTTAAATGATCTTATAACATGAAAGGTTTTAATTTAAAAGTAGAGCGTTTGGAATGATTACAGAGAGTCAACGGAGCACACGGGGGCAGCCTTAGGGAACAACGTTCGTGAAAGTATACACAGTTCTCACTTCAGCTGCAGCTTTGGTCATTGTGTAAAATTCGGATATTTTAGTTTAGTTTTTCCGGGTTTAAATGTAGTAGATATATATGAAACGCAGCTGGTCTTCCGTGTAAGGCCGGCGTCATCAGGCTTTTAAATGGTATCGGAACGCATATACACCCTTGTTAGAGTTTGAGGAATTTTTCAACTCTTCGTGATGTATTTAAACTTAATTGTATGATCTACTGGCTTGCTGATAGATAATCTATTGGATAATGCAGTTAACTTTGTCAAAACTTATGCAAGGGGATATCATGCTCATTCTCCGCATCTGAAACAAATTACAATTATTGAAATTATTGAAATTTCTTCAAATGCCGTTTTACTTGCAATCAACACATAACTTCTTACAACAAACAAATGGGGACATACACGAATTTGCCACGTTTGTTTAAATCCTTCCGTCACCGTGAATGAACCTTTATCTATAAACATATTACATAAAACTATTTTCAACAAGGACAAGCGAATGTGGTTAGACCGATTTCTTATTTTACGTGCACAAGTGTCTCCTTATTGAGCGTAAGCTTCCGCTTTAACTAAACACAAAAACGCCACCAGAAAGTCACTAATCGATCGTCATTATTCCCTGTATTGACAATATTTCCCCAATGAAATGGCATGATGTGGACATTGTTAAATATAGAGATTAAAACAGAATATCGATATCGATTCTATGCAGCATTGTTGGCTACTATGTGGCAGGTTGCTTTTTGTCTCAATTTTTATGACTATTGTTCGTGTCATTTGCAATTCTTAATTAGCCACAAAGAGATGACAGCGTGCTCAAAAGAGGTTTTGTTATTTAAAGGCGAGGTGGATTGATTTTAAATTTAAAAAAATTACGTCCTTTGATACTGAGCATCACCATACGAATTTAAAGTTTTAAAAATACACTAACTACTGCGCACAAGTCCAAAGATTTCGGGTCACATGCAATGATTTATAACCATGACGAAAGACCGCATAATGTGCTTTAGGGGATGCGTTAGTGAAGCAAGGGATTGGAACTCCCAAGACGGAGCTTCATTGAGTAGGTTAATAATTCTAAAATTTTGGTGAGCCGTTCGATGCACACTAAAATCGGGGCACTTTTGGGAAGAACAAAAAAAAACTCGATCAATTAATTAATTTACATGAAGTATTTTCCACAAACAGTTTCTCTTTTAAACCAGGTACTTGGAGACGCCCGATAGGCTTTTGGCCTCTGAACGCAGACTATACATATAGTGACATCAGTGGCGGTGGAAACCATGGTAGCGGGTTTTCTGTTTCCTTGACGACTGGACATGAAGGAGTAGGTAATACTGCCTACAACTTCGGCGGGTCTGTATCTAGCTACATACACATCCCGAACAACGGACAGCTGGACGCCCGTTACTCGTGGACGTTCTCGGCTTGGGTTTACAATGGCGGATCAACGCAAGGCCCGTTGTTTAGTTTTCATTTCCCAAACTCCGTTTACGATGATTTTGGGTTGCTAATCTGGCAGTATCCTGATACAACCACGCTTGTTGTTGCCCCTCGAAGCAGGAGTGATGGAGCAGTTTCTGTGGCAGCGCTCTACGGCAGCGGTGTGCTGACGTCAAACACGTGGGTCTTCGTGAGTGTGACATACGACTATACGACTGGGGATATGACCATTTGGAAAGATGCTGAGGTAGGTTAAGAAATATGATTCGCGGACACTGCCAGCACAAGCAGTGCGTCTGGTCGAGGTGAGGCAATAGCGTTGTTCCTTCAATAAAATCTCTATGCAGTTCTTGGCCAGAAACGTCATCGGATAACAGTTTGTTCAAAAAATGGGGGTGAATCTTAGTTATTTTTCACCTTAATTTCAAAATCTATGGTATGTTTTTTTATTATTATTATTTCCTTTGTCATTTATTAATCTCTTCATTCTTATTAGTAAAGTATAACTTCATTTCAGATAAACACTCAGTCAAACATAGGCCAGGTGGAACACGCCACCCAGTATGATGTATACGTAGGGTCCCGGTATGCCTCATATAACTCGGATACTAGGTCGTTTGCCGGTAGCGTGTCTTGTATTCAGTGGTACGACGTGGCTTTACCCCAAGCCCATATCAGGAATGCTCGCCAGCTGTGTGTCCCAGAAGGTAAACATGCAGGGCCTTGTCTATGTTTGCATTCTCTTGGACTCTGATGGTACTTTTGCCTCGTGGCATCTTACATGATGGCAATTATGAATTGTTTGCTCTGATTGGGACGTCGAAAGCTCTATGTGCAATTCAGAATATGGATCAATATTTCCAATGGTGCCACCACTGAAAATAATTTTTGTGGTTGGGGATGCAATTAAGAGTCATCTAATTGGTCGTATATATATATATATATATATATATATATATATATATATATATATATAAATGAATTATGTACAATTTACAAGTGTACATTATTGCATTCCGGTCGTATTGATGTCTAAGCGTGCCCCTTTATTTTGTAGTATATATATTTGGCAAATATTTGGCAAATAAGAACACTCAAGTTGTCTTTTGTATATATATAGCTCTTGCCAAGTATTTATGGTTAGCCTTCCAAAAAAGGGACTGTGCTGCACCCATAACCAGTTGGGTAGGTAGAGCCATTTGGGCTCTGCCAAATATGTTTTGTATTTTTTTCATACAAGGAGTCATACAATATCACTATTGATCATAATTCATATTTATATATATTTGCATTCCTTTGTACATTTTCATCTATCCATGTAGATGCATACGTTACAATGAATAAAGCACATAT